ATAGGTAAAAACTATGTAAATGAATGTAAAATAAATATGAAGATCTGTGGAGATGCAAGCTCGCTCACAGTCAGAATGTACGTTTTTAAGTTTTTAACCCAAATGCAAGATGGATATGTTTAATGCCACACTGGGACATTCCAGACAAAGCAACAACATTTCCATGGAGACAAGCAGACTGCCGGCAGACTCCTCACCAGAAAAAGTTACGCAGTGCTAGCCTGATTCATGAGCCGGTTTCACTTTGTAGAAACCGTCTGATCTCGCAGTGTTAGGATTCGTTCGCTCTACGGTAGGCAGGTACTTTATTCATTTAACCAATCGCGTTATGCGTTACGAACCGGGCTAACTGGTATATTAAGCTTTCTCAAATCTCGTAGGAAGAAGGGCAATAACGTCTTTCCGCTTGATAAAATTCACCAAACATTCTCTTTGTTCCGGCTTTAAATCCTTGATCTCAGGAATCACTGACAACACAGAATATATGTCTCTTCGCTGATTGGCTGGTGCCCGAACTTGCACTTTTGAAGGTTTTGTGAACCGTCTAGTGTATTCCGATTTCTGACCTAGTCTCCGAAGAAATGAAATTGAGCGGAGGCACTAGATGGCGCCAGCCTGGCTAACACATTGCACCCCAATTAAAGAACTCAGCCCTCCTCGTAGCTCCTTCAAACAAAAATGTCCTATACATTCTACACTGGACTCTTTGTACTTTTCAATACTTTTGTGGCCAGTCTGCATTTGTTTACAGTTTAGGTTTATGCCTGTTTAAAAATAATTTACAAACCCTTTCATATACCATTCTTCGCCATTATAGATTTTTCAGATCACGGTCACTTTCATCATCACATATCGCACATGTCTATGGTAAACTGTCATAGTGATAGATGCCTGCCTTCTGATACTCCACTATAGCTGTATCATTGTATCCATGTGTTCCCCGGCCTGAGAAAGTATAAGCGTGGCACTGCTCCAGCCTCTCTAATCTTGTGCACTTCCATGGCACAGACCCGTCCAATAACAACGTGTAATGCGCTGAAATATTGATACTCTGTAGGCTTGATTTAACATGTGGCGTGCACCCGGGTTTGGAATGTTGCCTTTCTACCGGATACCGATTCTGTCGACCAGCGTAGTTTTGTTGTTTATTGTGGCTGTAATGATTTCGCCCTCTTTCATGTAGGCCCTCATGTTAATTGCTGATTGTTTGTCAGCGGTACGCCACACTCAAATGGATCTGTCAGTGCAAACCAGCCCCAGTGTGCTTGTGGTGATCTGCCAACTAAACATGTTGTTCCAATGTTATTCTGCAAAGGACGTTATGTTGCCAGACGCGCTCAATATCACGCTTACTCGACCGTCATTATATATATTAAGGACTTTCTGTGGCCATATGTTGTGGGGGAGATCGGGCTTGCCTACGTACGAAGGATTCGCTTGAAGTTTCAGTAAAAGTTTGCAAAAGACTAGGTAACAAATACTTTCTGATGAAGATTGATGGGTTGATTTTTTTGTTTGTTAATCAGACCCGAAATTGCCTAAAGCAGAGCTATTATGAAAATCAGCTGTTAAAGTTGTTTCTCTCACCATTTAGTCACCCACTGTTGTATTTGGAGTGATTCGTGCATGTTTGAGTAATCTTTAATCGCTTAATTTCAAAACGCCATATGGTCAATCAATCCTCATTTTCACTGCCACCAGCATACGCCCACAGCTTTCTACTTACTTTGTTCTCCCATTTTATTTTCTTAATCTGTGAAGTAATTTCGGTACAAATGAAAAAATAATCTGCTAGTCATTCGCGTGAGGCGCAGCGATCCGTCACACGTGCCATCTCTTTGTTGTGACGACTTCTACGGTGACATCAGCTCCGAGTGGGCACTACAGTTTTCTAACACGGACTTGCTTCTTTTATTAAGTCATTTTAGATGAATATTGGAATTTAAAATATGCAAACTGGAACATAATGATCCACAGGTGTCATAGCAGATACAAGCACAATAGGTTTTCTTTAAAAATGGAATACTGACTTTTTGTAAATTTTGTATATTGTATTACCAATGTGTCAAAGGGGTTGGGTACGTTTGTGATTTAGTCAGATTTAAAACCTTATTTCCTCTTTTTGTGACCTTTAATAAGAGGTCGGACACTTCTAGTTGTTGGTGAGATACAGATGCTCTCTGCTGCGTCTGAGTGATGAGTTCGGGAGTACTTCGTCACAGCTCATCTGCTGTGTTCAGACGGCAAAACACATCAAAATCTCGACAAATGCCTCCAGTTGGACGCCTTTGTGTTTGAGGGCAGATGATTGAAACACGTTTATGCCCTGGGAATTTCGATGAAAGTTCAGATTTATTATATTTTTTGCATATAAACCCAACGCCCCATCTGTACGCAGTTTTCAAGTCAGCCAAATGGAGACTTTTAAAAGCATTTTGAAACTATAGAGTGATAAATACTTTAACCAGTAGTGACCCACCATGGCTCTTTTGTTTACTTTTTTGCTTGCTAATGCATGTCTGTGTACGTTTGGCACATCTGGCGCGTTGACGTTTCATCCTGGACTCTATAGGAACTGTCAGAGAGAGAAGTTTTCTTGTTCCTTTTGTTTATTTTTCTGTAAATAAGACTTCACGACCTCTCTGTGGAATCTCTTTAGACACATTGCTTCCTCTCTCCAGTCACTGACCAGAGACATAAGTCAGTGAATAGCTGTCTGAAGGGTGCACAAGGCATCTGTTTGCAACTTTGACAGAGATTTTTTTATGTTGGTGGAAGTAGTTTTGATAGTTGCGTTAAAACAACCTATATTTAATACTTTAGTGGGTATGGTGCAGTGGCGATTTCTATTCAACCTTCACCTGACCTGCCAGCCCCTTTTACATTCTGTTTGAACTCTCAAGGGGCTGGAACCGGACCATAGACCGTGAAAAACCTCGGTCCAAACATAAGACGATCCAACTTCAGCTCCTAATTTGTATCACGTGTTCCTCAAATGCGAAAGACATCTCCTCTCACAAATTCTTGTACTACTCAGAACAAAATATATAACTTCTTTTACCTGAAATAAAATAGTTTGATGTTTTGATGGTTGATTCTGTAAAAATCCTCAGTCCTTAATGTAGATTTGTCTCTTTAATTGGTTAATTCGCCTGTCAATCATGGCTGCTGAAATCAGGAAGACAGGATACAGCTCTAGATCTGCTCATCTTTGTAAAGTTTTTTTCAAAGTGTGTGGTTCTGGCTGGTCAGGTAAATTCAACCCATGCAGTAGTTCACCGTTTTCCTGAAAATTCTTGTGACCAGATGTCCTTATGTCCCAGCAGATTGAAGCAAAACTAGTGATTTGTCAAAAGATTTTATACAAGAAATGTCCAGGTGTTTCTATTTTTGACCAACCCTATACCTATCAACAGCAAAGAAGTCATTTGTTTAGCTCAAAAACAGAAAACCGTGCTTGAAAATGACCAAAAGGGGAAAAAATGCAACATCAGAAGTCCCTCAGATTTTTTCCTGACGCACAAGTGAGTCAAGAATAGACAATGTTACGAGCTTTTTTCACAATATTATTCATACCAACCATCTGAATCCGGGTGTGTCCCAGTTTTGAATTCAGAAATCTGGTCACTCTGCTGAAGAAAGGAGAAATATACTACGGTGAATCTGTATCTTTTGTGAGTGAATGGACAAACTCGGACACAGTAGCTCACACATCACAATATATTTTAATAACAAAGAGAAAAAAATATAAATGGCAATAATTAAACCTAAATGAGTAACAAAAATAGGAAAACACACAGGCATAATTATATAAATGTAGGCTATACATACTAAAAAAATAGAAATATAGGAATATAAATACAGTATATCACATAAGGTTATCTGTTGTTGAGTTGTATGAGTTGTTGTACACTTGTAGGGAGTATGGTATGAATGTAGTCCTTGTATCTTTCCCTGTTTGAGTGGAGCTGTGGGAGTCCACTTTATGACTTGGGACACATTTGCAACAGTTTAGATGCTTAACTGACCTAACCTTCAATTCGTTATGCAAGGAATGCCTAATTGGAACAGATTTGAGATGAAGCTTCCAGTAAAGATCCACACCCGTGCTTGTTTACGCGGTTTTATTTCTCCGAGTGGACAGGACCAATTTCTTACCGTAAGGACATTCTTAGACATTGAGTTCTAGCGACATGTCTGGACCACTCATTGTAAACCATAGACATAATAAAGGCAGGCTCCAGAGCTGTATGATTAGCAGCAGTAATTGCCCTCTCATTATGCCTGTAGACTCATTAAGCCCTTGAATGCTCCTGAAACCAAATGCACTGTTTTCCTTTGGTAAGAATCATTTGAAATTCCCACTATGTAGAAGTCTGAAAACATGAAAAAAATAAATTATACATGAACTCCTGGCTGTAACGCTGGGCCCACTTCTGACCGGCCGCTTTGGGAGCACGTCTTAAAGTCCTCCAAGACAAACATCGCACTCATTTTCATACTTAGAGGTATTTAGTTGTGCTCTTGAGGGTCAGTCTTGGTTTGAGGGCGACCTACCGCAGTGACTTAGTGCCTGGAAACTAAGATCCTAGCACACAAACTAAGTTTTAAAACTTAGTTCATTTTTACCTCTGTCGACTTTTTAAAAATAGAGTATTTTACAGGGTCATTGCACGTGCTTTTAACACTGCAAATGTTTCACTGGCTCATGTCTATGTCTTTATTCACTGTTTCATGTTATGGTTGATGTGTGAGTTCTCAACTGATTTAAAAACTCAAGTCAAGATGAAAATATCTGTGATATAGACAATATATTATTGGCCTAGAGGCTTGTGTTTTCCAAGGTAACTACATGGCTAAGATTTAAAGACTGATTACTACTTCTCAGTGTGTGTACAATGAAGTTATGTGGGATCTTTGTTTCTAATCCATAATGATTTTGCTAATATTTACATGTTAATTCATATATCGTAGTCAGTAAAAGTGTTGTTTTGTTCCAGGTGTATCCATGCAGCAATGACAAGGAGTGCAGTGTGGGCAGTTACTGCCACAGCCCTCAACACGCGCCCTCGCGCTGCCTCACCTGCCGCAGGAGGAAGAAGCGCTGCCACAGAGACGCCATGTGCTGCCCCGGAAACCGCTGCAGTAGCTGTATGTGCCACAAAACTGATGATTTAGGTTTAGTTTCTACTTGTGAATAATTTAATAATAACATATCTGATGTGTCTTTCTAGACATCTGTGTGCCAATTTCTGAGAGTGTGCTCTCACACCACATCTCACCATTCGACGAACACAACAAAATGTCCAATAAAGATCACAGCTGGAGGAAGAACAGCAAAGCACACAGCAAACTCAAAGGTAAACAACGATCCTGTGCACATCATCAGTGTCTACAACACCACTGACAGAGTCTGTTACACTGACAGAGTCTGTTACACTGACAGAGTCTGTTACACTGACACAGTCTGTTACACTGACAGAGTCTGTTACACTGACAGAGTCTGTACACTGACACAGTCTGACACTGACAGAGTCTGTTACACTGACAGAGTCTGTACACTGACAGAGTCTGTTACACTGACAGAGTCTGTTACACTGACACAGTCTGTACACTACAGAGTCTGTTACACTGACAGAGTCTGTTACACTGACAGAGTCTGTTACACTGACAGAGTCTGTTACACTGACAGAGTCTGTTACACTGACAGTGTCTGTTACACTGACAGTGTCTGTGTCTCTTGTGTGTATAACACTACTGGCAGTGTTTATAACACCACTGACTGCCTAAAATGCTGCTGAGCCTAAAGTTTTGAGCACAAACCACAGGGTCCCTGCTGCTCTTGAACCTGGGTAAAGCCAGACGAACACTTGGGCATTGTGTGAAACACAGTGTAAAACCACAAAATGCTGCTTTAGCGTTATTATGGCTGATGGCCCCTGAGCCCCCTGCTCAGTGTTAATGTCACCTGAAATAGGTTTATGGTAAGGTCTAATAGGCTCCTGTGAGTCCTCTGGTTAAACTGTGAGTGCTCCCTGCAGACAGTGACCTATAAAGTCAGACTGCAAGCTCTAACATTTCACTTTGGTGTATAAAGATCCTAGCACACAAATGTAGACTAGATCTAGATCTAAATATGCTGCAAATCTGAACCGTCTGTACAGAAGTATCCATGACAGTCTGACAAATAAATGCCAATGTCTTAGATCTGTTCTATCATCAGAAGTACACTATAGAATCTTGACTCTGATGCTGAGAGACATTTGTTCTATGTGACATGACCACACAGAACACCCTTTGATTTAAATGTGATGAAAGTCCCACATAAACGTATGCATGTGGAAAACATAACGTCCTAATGAGCAGTGATTATATATTTCCTTTGCATCGCCTGATGTAAGTTTATTCCATGAGGGTTTTCAGTCCAAAAGGCTCTCAGTAGATTTAATGCTTTGCTCTTTATTTCAGGTCATGAAGGCGACCCCTGCCTGCGCTCCTCCGACTGCTCAGACGGATACTGCTGTGCGCGACACTTCTGGACCAAGATCTGCAAACCAGTGCTGCGTCTGGGCGAAGTGTGCACCAAACAGAGGAAGAAAGGCTCTCACGGTCTGGAGATCTTCCAGCGCTGTGACTGCGCCAAAGGCCTCTCCTGTAAGGTGTGGAAAGATGCCACCTCCTCGTCCAAGTCCCGCCTCCACATGTGCCAGAAGATCTGAGGCTCTGCTCTGGTGCCAGGGAACTCTTTACAAAGGGACGTGTCGTGGCTGTGAAAGACAAACAGACGAACAGAGACAGCTCACATTTGTGGGTCAAAGTGCAGAGAAAGAGGGAAGTGTTGGACTGTGTTGGCAGAGAGGGTGGGGCCTGCTCCTGTACACCCCAGCAGTAAGCCTCCAAATATGTTCTATTCACTCTATGACTTTCAGGGAATCATAACTTTAGGAAGTAGAAGCTGGGAACTGTATAGGGCTTTCCTTTAGATGGGGAAACTTACCACATGCCAAAACATGTAAATACTAATTATGAGATTATCCTGTGAACAAAAAGCCATGTTATTTATGTATGTTTGTGTAAAAGATCCAGCAGAATCTGTTTTCTTTCAGCAAGTGCATTCAGACATTTACCAGTGCTATGCAAAGCCTCCATGTGAAGAGCAGTCAGAAAGGGTACCATTTACTAGAATACGTTTACTGATTACTCCAGAACTTTTGGTAAAACAACATTATTACATAATATTTTGAAACCAAAGAAAAGGGAAAGTTTTTGTGTTTTAGTGCACTGGCTTTATTTAGCCTCAAAAGCGTGAATATGGTAGAGTGAAGGTTTGATCTGTGCGACGGGGTTGTGTTGGTGAAAGGTGTCTACCGCGTACTCCAGCAGACCCAAAACTGTTTTCCAAATCACAGAAACAGGACTCAAGGTTGCAGTGGAAACGCCAGTGCAGGCTTTTCCATCGCTGCAGCCAGTTTGAGATGTGAGACGAATGAATATTTATTTTAATGACAACGATTTTTCAAAATGTTAGTTTCAATCAACGTTTCGAGCACACGCCTGTTTAATCTAAAAGCCCCTAATACAAACAAATTACAAACTTCAATGCAATTTCACATCTGCACACAAGTTGTTTTAGACCATTCAATATATATTTTGTAATCAATAAAATACCAATAAGCTTTTGTATTGTAAATAGATGGGAACAATGTATTTAAAGTTTGTATATCATGTACATATGATAAAGTATAAATCCTACATATTGGAGATAGAGTTTTAATGAGGGCTGGCGTGGGGCAGTGGTGTAGTTGACATGACAGTGGACCAGAAAAGCATGATCAAAGATGTAGGCCCAGTGCCATGTCATAAAACTGGAGTGAAGATTTATAGCACTATTCAATATTGTGTGAATAATATGATTTTGTGTATTTACAGTGATGGACGAATAAAAGAATGTATTTTGTATCATTTCTTTTTTGTGTTGATGTTTATGTGTGCAGGAAAACTTATGAGCTTTTAGCAGTGTTATGTTGTTACCTCATCAAAATCGTATCTGGAGTTGTGTTTTGTTTCATTCACACATGTTTGAGCAATCCTTTATTGGTCAATCTGCATCTCCAAAGCTCGAAATGCTCTGTTCCACCTTGTGATGTCATGATGAAGCAGGAGTTTTCAAGTTAATCGCTCCTTTTACCTTTTCAATCCAGTCAACTTTATTTATACAGCACATTTTATAAACATGACAGTTTCCAAAGTGCTGCACAGACAAATTAATACAATAAAACAATAAATAAAAGTGTTAAATGCATAAAGCTAAAAATGTTAGAACAATGAATACAATAAAATAAATAAAAGACAGAGGACCACACAACTCACGCGGAGTTAAAAGCCAGAGAGAGTAAAAGTGGGTCTTAAAACGAGACTTAAAACTCTCAGTTTTCTCAGCAGTTTGGACGTGGGGGACAGAGAGTTCCAGAGCTTGGGGCCAAACACAGAGAAGGCCCTGTCCCCCCTGGTTTTAAGACTCATCTTAGGCACCTTTTGTTCAGTAGATTGATAACTGCAGCGCTGAAATCATCCAAATGATTCTCGTGAAGATGTGTGGAGTTTAAAAGTACAGTGGTATGTGATACTTCATTACCACATGACATCAAAAGGTGGAACAGAGGGTGTTTCCTGTTTGACAGAAGAACTCTGCAGGGTTTGTGTGTTAAACATGTGCGAATGAAACTAAATGAACTCCAGGAATGTTTCTGAGGAGGAAACCATTTTAAAATTAGATCAGATCAGAAATTAGCATAATATGGGCCATTTAACACTCAATCAGTTTAGTTCAGTTGATTTATCGATTGATTTGTGCCAAGTCAAAGCAAAATTGCTCATTTCCACCTCCAGTTCCTGCAGGCTAATGTCATAAATAGTGTACATGCCAATAAAATACAAAGTATATTAAAAAGGTAGATTGCACAGCTTTTCTCGTGAAGGCAGTGGTGGAGTCAGCAATTTGGGGGCATTAGGTGAACTTGAGTTTGGGGCCCTCACTATAATGCACCGTTTTTTGTTTTGTTTTGTTTTGAAAATATATATTGTCTGTTTTCGATCATTTTTCTTGAAACATGCACATCTCTATTTAGGTGAATTATGGTAGATTGGAAACTTGTCTTATTAGTTAGGGAGCCTACTAGATAACCAGAACAAGAAGTAGTTGTATTTTCTTGCTAGTACAATTGCATTTTTGATTACTGTTTAAAAGTAAAATACTCTCATTTAATGTCATATTGAGAGAAAATTTAATTGCTCTGAGGCCTGAGGCATTAGTGGCACTGAGGGCAACTGGTTGGGGGCCCCTCCAGGTTTGGGGGCCCTAGGCAGCTGCCTACTTTTGCCTAATGGTAGCGCTGCCTCTGTGTGGAGGGTCCGTTACCTACTTGTGTCCATGGGGATGTTATTGCTCTGATCCATGACATTAAACATATCCATCTACAGTACCATCTATTCGTTACGAGGGCTTCTATTGCTCCAAAATACAGTAATTCTGTCTGTGAATAAGGGTGACGCTCCACAGATCTGAATTGTAATGTAGCGGTGTGCTGTAACCTGCTTGTCTCCCTTGTGATTGATAGGTTTGATAGGACTGATATGTTTAAGCTCTATTGTGGAACATTCTAGACAAAGCAACATCCATTTCCATGGTGGCTGAACTTTCACTAGAAAAGTTACACAGTGCACCTTTAATGCAATCATTCATCCAGTCAATCAATAAGTAAAACTATAGCTCCTTTCACCACATTCATTCACTATTTACATGTACTGTACACAGTTTATGTTGCTGCATTCAGACGAGGCAGTTTAATGTACACAGGTCAAAAATCAAAAGCTTTCCCTTTGGCTCTGAGTGCAGGAAGTTTTAGTTGTTTCAAAACGTTTTACTTTTTACAATATCAGAGCAAAAAAGTAATTTGATAGCCTTATCGTCTGGAATGGGCCAAAAGTGAGTGTGTGCTGCTGCCAACAGTCAATACATCTAATGAGGCCTCAACTGTGAAGTAAATTTCCCTTTCATTTTTTCGCATACACTTTCCGAAAAAGCTTAGACTAATACAGTATTAAAAGTTGCTCAAGGCTGATCAGCTACGTGGAAACTAATGACCACAAGACCTGGGTAAGTAACGCACTGCTCCAAGTTGTTTAATCTGCTTATACCGGACCTGGGCATTGTGCAGATCCCAGGCCACTTTGGTTGACTCTGACCGGCCCATTTAAGACCAACTGGAATAACAAAATAAACATATTATATAATTTAACTCATGCATGAATTAAAGCTACATTGATTTTTTTGTTTTATTACATTTTTTGTAAGACATCCTCACTTTTTCAATGCTTAGTCATAACATAAACTCTTACCAGTCTTACCAGCTCATCAAAACAATGTTATTTACTGCTTTTTCACAAAGCCCTGCACAATATTTTGTTTTTCTCATGTGGCCCCATGGAAAAAAAAATTGCCCACCCCTGGCTTTTACACGGCACTAGTTATTTCTGTTTTGGTTGAAGTTAGTCCCTTCTAACATGTTACGACCCAGCTCTGCCAGGGACAGGGGAAGTAACAAAAGAACCAAGATGGATAATGGAATAAATTAAATAATGTTTAATTATAGATGTAAAAGGTAAATTAACAAAACAGACTAAAATATATAAAGAAATTAACCTAAACTAAGAAACAAAACAGGATTAACATATGAGTTATGTGCCACAAAACGGGTTATGCAGGCTTTTACAAAAACAAGTGATTAAACTAAGGGATGCACAAAACTAAAACACAAGCGTCCCAAAGTAAAACCGCATAATCCCACAAACAGAATGGAGTGACAAATAAAAAAAGGCACAAAACAGAAGTAAACTAGCGTCTCAGCACAAGCAAAGTCACACTCGTACTAGTACAAAACAAGTGACTGACACACAAACACAATTTCCTTAAATAGGGGGAGGGGGCTGGAGGTGAGGCAGGTGTGGCCAGGTGTAGAAGAGCTCCACCAATCACAGACCAGGGCTCTCACAGCAGGATTCAGGACAGCCAAAGATGTTCATTTTGTCTTCTTATCTACTCCAATATATATATAATCCAATGCAAATCATGCAATAAATCATACACAGGGGAAACAGGCCGAGCATTCCACATTCGAAAAAAGGAACACCAAAAGGAATGCCAAAAGGAAACATCAGGGAGACTCACCAGAACACAAAAAGATAAAGCAGAACAGGAAAACCTAACTTATGGTCATGAGCTTTGGGTAATGACCGAAAGGACGAGATCGCTGATACAAGCGGTCGAAATGAGTTTCCTCCGCAGGGTGGCTGGGCGCTGCCTTAGAGATAGGGTGAGGAGCTCGGAGCTCGGAGCTCGGAGTAGAGCCGCTGCTCCTCCACGCTGAGAGGAGCCAGTTGAGGTGGCTCGGGCATGAGTTGCAGATGCCTCCTGGACGCCTCCCTCGGAAGGTGTTCTGGGCACGTCCCACCGGGAGGAGGCCCCGGGGAAGACCCAGGACACGCTGGAGGGACTATGTCTCTGGGCTGGCCTGGGAACTGGAGGAAGTGTGTGTAGAGAGAGAAGTCTGGGGGGCCCTTCTCAGACTGCTGCCCCCATGACCCGACCCTGGATAATCGGAAGAAAATGGAATGGAATGGAATGCAATGGAAAGGAAAACCTAAAATCCGCCATATCAGACACTGTAAAAGGAACAACTACATAATGGATTGGGACGGGGCTCGGGTCACTGGATCAGAAAACAACAAGTTCAAACGCTGGATCAAGGAAGCCATTGAAATCAGGAAACGAGGCACTGACAGCATTAACCGTGATGACGGAGCGTTCCTCCTTTCACACACCTGGGACACCCTCCTCCAGAGAACATCGGGCGACGGGAGGCGTGGTCAGTCTGAGCGACCTGCCAGGTCCATCAGGCTGACCACGCCTACAGGAAGTAACAACAGCTGATATACGACACGTCACCACCAACACCGGGGACAGTTCTGAAGATGGCTTGCATTTAAAACACATATAACAAATTAGAACTGAAGGCTTGGGGCCGTAACAAACAGCTGTACATTTGCTTACCCACTGATATGCTGATGCTTACAGCGTAGTGATATAAAATAGTGATTAAATGTTGCCTGAGCTACTTTTGCGGTTAGTAAAAAATAATGCACGACAGCTAACCATGGCATAATTTTATTTAAAGTCTGTTACTGAAACTTTCTAAGCTGCAAAATAGTTAAAGCATTTTGAATCTTGAATTTTAAACCATCCTTTTGGACTTAAAACATCCTTGTTATGGATATTAGTTCCCACAGAGCTGGTTAGTCTCCACGCTGTCTTTGAGCTCTTAACATTTGAATTTTCCGAAATGTCTGTGGGAAAATAGAACGGAAATTTTTGCTTCCAGGACCGGAGAAACCTTCAAAGTGGGCGGGACTGTGGCTGTGCATAGATACCTGTCTGTGGGGGCGGGGTTTGAACCGTCTATGCCTGTCAGACCAATCATCATATTCATTACTCTTCCCACAATAATCCACCATACCATACTGCTATCTTTTTATTATCTATAAAGCGTATATAAAGTAGAGCATTGGCGCCAGGATCTCAGGATAAGCAGTTATCACAGTCTGTTTTCAACTACACATCTGGTACCTTTATGAAATGACCAGCGCAGATAAGATATCCACAGTCTTTAATACACCTTCAGAAGCTGTATAGTCGTCCAACATCTGTTCATCATAACAGTTTATAACGCTGTAATATTAAAGTTCACATATAACATTTTCTCCAATTATGTAAATGTGTTCACCAGACGTTAAAAGTCATTATTTTAAAGAAATATTTTAAGCTGTTATCAACTCTGTCATGGCTTCAGTTCACATCACACGAAGGAACGGTTTT